AAGAGTGTGGCAGGAACAGCAGTTCAAGTAGCTATGGCAAAATATGCAGGGACTGCTGCTGAGGAGGAGAGATCAGGGAGGTCAAACATGGATGGTGAAAGTTGAGAGGAAAGATTGGGTAATTTAGTGATGGTATTGTGTTTTGACAGTGCTCTGTACACATAAAGGAACAGATAGTATGTAACGTGGGTGTGAAAAGTTTACCATTTTCTCATATTTGTTTTGGAAAGGAAGGTACAGTGCTGACAGGAAGTCTTTGGAAACGGTTTATGTGGACTGAAGGGGTAAACCTACTGGAGAGGGCGTGAGGAGAGGAAATTACTTTATGCAGTTGATGTTTGAAAGCAGAGTGAGTGGAAGCTCATATTTCTTTTGGAAAGGAAGGTACAGTGTCTGCTGACAGGAAGTCTTTGGAAACGGTTTATGTGGACTGAAGGGGTAAACCTACTGGAGAGGGCGTGAGGAGAGGAAATTATTTTATGGAGTTGATGTTTGAAAGCAGAGTGAGTGGAAGAAGTGGAGGAGGATGATGTCATAGTTCACAGGGTTCTAATCTTGCACTCATTGCTGTTGGTTCAAATAAAGAACAACATAAAATCAGTAGACTTTAAAAAATAAAAACCACCAACACGACAACAAAAACCACCACAAAACCCCATATAAGCTTTTACTTAGTTTTCTGTGGTGCTATGAACCTGTAAAAGGCAAACCCAGGCAGAAGGTTCTGTTCATGTTGCTGACTGTGTTAATGAACTAAATCCCCAATTAATGATGATAAGATAACATTGAGCATTTACTCAGCCCTGATCTGTTATTGTTTATTATGAATCGGGAAGTCATGATAAAATCTGAGTATTTGAGAGGTTGGGTTTCTAAACACTAAAAGAATCTCTGGACTGTTCCATGAGGAATGTGGCAAAACCCTATGTAGGAATACAGCTCAATGCAAAAGTACAATAAATACTGTAGCCGGAATGTGGACCTGAAAGTGGGGAGTCTGGGGGAGGAAAAAATAACTGGCATGTGCATGGTGGATAATTGTCAGTGTTTCACCTGATGTTAAGTAAAATGTGATGCTCTGGCTGAAAAGGCTGTTGTGGTCCTTTTGGGTTATTTTTGTAACTGGAGTAGTTTTTGTGCAATTAGTTTAGCTCTTGTCATTACCGGCCCATGAAAAGTAAGAGTGAAAAGAGCCATAAGTAACTGTGAAAGGATTGCAAACCTCATTTATAGAAAACGGTGTTTGAAAAGCTCTTGTCATCTTGGCTTAGGAGGCGATGAAGAAGTGGTCAGAAGTGATCTGTGTACTTGTATGTGTGACAAATTCCCTCGTTCGCAGAGTCTCGCTTGCTAATGTCGTTTAGCAAGGTAGAGCTAGGCAACTTTGAGCTAATGGCATGTGTACGTATCTGCAGTGTGTGTGTGTATACCTACACAAGTTTAAAGCAGGTAAACACTGGAATACTTTATTAGGTGATGGTACTGATTAGGTTATGGTATGTGAGTGTTGAGAACATAGTAGTTGAGACTAAAGACTTAAATATTTAAGTGATCATTATGAATTGTTAACTGCTATTTTAATTCAGGCAATGCAAAGGTTATAGGTAGCGATATCTTCTGTTACGCCCACTGGTCAATAAAAAGATACAATTCTGTATTAAAATGCTGTTCTTCACTTCTGTAACTGAAGTAGCAAATTCCAGCCCTTGCTGCCCAACTTAGTTTGCGTTAAGATTTGAGGTTGTTTGCTTTAGTTTGATCTAAAGCAGGGCTTGTGTGCCTAAGAGCTTATTTGCTCTTTGAAATTATTTAGTTGGATTACACATACCAAACTTACCTCATTTGGACCTTGTTCAAACAGGAGCAGGAAATGCCCATAGCCTTCTGGCTCAGCAGCAGAGCTGGATAATGTATTCTCTCCTTGGTGTTTTAGGCAGGGCATTCATCCTCAGGAGGTAAAGCTCCATCTGATGAGGGTAGTTGATCTTCCTTAAATGGGTAGAAGGAACCCCCACTACATCTCGTTTCTGGAGTCTACAAAGTAAAAGCTTGATAGAGCCATGCCATCGTTTCACAAGCTTTTTTGTTTCTTAAGGTCAAAGTGTTAAATGGTCATCTTCTTTCTGGTCCATCACTTTCCCTGTGCTAATGCTTCATGAAACGTGACAGTGCTATAAGGTCCCCCTTATATGACAGTCTCTGAGCTGTCTTGGAATGAGGACTGTGGTGGATTAATTTTGGCTTGCTGCCAGATGCCCACCCAGCTGCTCACACTCCCCTCAACAGGATGGGGGAGAAGATAGGATGGAAAAAGCTTGTGGGTTGAGATAAAGACAGGGATCAATTAGTCACCGGCAAAACAGACTTGATGTGGGAAGATTAATTTATTGTGAACTAAAAATAGCGGAACGGGGAGAAAGATAAAACCTCCTTTTCCGTACCCCCAAACTCTTCTTCCCAGGCTCAACATGGCTGCTCCATTCCCAACTTCTACCTCCTCCTCACCACGTGGCACAGGGGAGATGGGGAGTGGGGCTTGCAGTTAGTTCATAATACTTTGCCTCTGCTGCTCCTTCGTTATCATGAAGGCTCGTAGAAAAGAATTATAAAAGGGACTTGGCTGCTTTTGAACTCCAGGAGACTTAATTTCAGAACGTGACGCTCAGTTGTTAACTTTGGAATCTGTTAACTGATCTCATTACTTTGTCCCTTCTTTTATGCAGCAGCCTATAAACATGATCTATTATTAGTAAAACATGCATTTTTCAAAAAGTCTTAATTCAGTATGGTAATGAAACTAAGGTTCAACAACCTGTAGACTGTAGAATAATCAGTCCTGAAGCATTTGCAGGCCAATTATAAGATAGTAAGAATGAAAGAGGAAAAAATTACTTGCTTGGTTTGTCTGTTCATTGTCACATTAAAGCTCCATTATTTGAATCTCGGGCATTAGTGAACATATGAAAACCTTAGTTGATAGCAGTGATAACTGAAGCAAATGATGGCAATCTATTGCTGACCCACTTAAAAGTAGCCTACTAACATGAAACGGCTCACTCCATCTTTGTAAGTCAGTGTCAGTCATCTGATCTATTCCTTTAGGTATTTATTAGCACGGTTCTACTTTGAGGGACTTAGCTTTACAGTACTTCATGCTGACTTGCATAAACATATTGGTGAGCATTTGAAGTGTGTAAAAGATGACTTTTTTCCTCTCTTCAAATAATGAATTCTAATATCTGTTTACTTTTATGAAACAGTGTGATGTTTCTGATGTGAATTTGATTTCCAGAGTTCTTAAACAATTCTATTAGTGTATAGTGTAATACTGTAAAAGGGGAGTATTTTGTATAAATCCAGTTATGCTGCTTTGGAACATATTAAGTCAATTCAATTTTTATTTGGCCTTTTGGTTGTTTGGAGTTCTTGCTTAGTTCTGTGTTTTTTATAGAGGATTCTTGCTGAAGATTTTGGCCGCTGATGTTTTTGGTGGCCTTGGGCAGAGGCTGTCTTAAAGCAGAAGAGTGGAGGGACAAAGGAAGAGAACCTACCATGGGAACAGAGGGATAGACACAAGCTGTCAGTCCCTGATTACAGCTGCTAGGGAAGCACAGGCTGAACTGCAGACTGAACACTAACCAGAAGATGATTACTAAGAGTACGCTTTTTCTCTTTCAAATTCTTGTTGTTACTTCGTAATTACTTGTCTACTTGCAAGTAGCAGCACACCTAAAATGGAGGAGCTGGGGGAACGCTGGCTCTGGACAACAAATGACTAGCCATGCGAATTACAGGTGTGGGCTTAATATAAAGCAGATGGTGGAGCAAACGCTGCTGACCCAGGGGGGGTGCACAGCAAGGCATATTTCTTTTCAGTCTGAGTTAGTGCTTATAGCAAATAATATGCGTATCGCTTGTAATCAATAGGAATAGTTTATTTTTACACACAAAAATATCAAATAGACCGGGGTTGTAGTGGTGGGGGAAATCTGTAGTTAAACTTCCCCAAACTGTTTTGTTTACTACTCCTTTCATAGTCCTCATTTTCGGCTGCATCTCTATATTGCAAATAAATTTCTAACAAGAACAGTAGCAGCTATTCTTGTTTGGAAAACCAGCTGTAGATTGTTGTGGGCTGCTCACTGGAGATTCTTGAGACCACTAAAAATCCCCAAGGTAACTAGAGAATTGCTTTAACACATGTGATGAATCGGCATAGAATTTGTGTTGGTACATAAACTGATCTTTAACTTGGAACTTCATTTTCTGTAACTTGTTTTGCTGTGAAAATAATTGTGTGTAATAGCCAATTGGTTGTGGGTGATGTGGTTGAGTAACTACCACTATTTATCAATTTGTCATCAATTTGTGTTGACACATTTATACATTTATTAAGTAATTCTTAATCAAAACACTCAATTGTGCTGAGATGTCTAAATTTTTTTTTCTAACTTGCCTCTCTAACAGCAATGTGGCAGTGAACACGGTATTCCCATTTAGATTCCTAGCAGAATTAAAATATGTCAGTGGACAAATTATGTAATTTAGAGCCTGAAAATATTTTCTTCCAACAACTTCTTCCTAGATCTTCAGGTGTTAAGATAAAGGCAGTAGTAGTGCAGGACTAGGCTGGAAACTAGTATGTTGCTTGAAGTGTAGTCCTTTTTTTGGTGCTGTTAAAGCAAAATGCTTGACTTGATCATATTTGCATCATGTTGCTGGGACTTTTCACTTGGAGTTGTGCTTTTGTGGACTTTCTCTCTTCTATGGGCGTAGCACAGTCACTGTTTTGGGGTTTTTTTAAAGGCTGATCCCAATCAGTTAACATGTTAATTAACTCTTTTTACCAAACATTTTAGAAGATACGAGGGTGGGGAAAAAAGACTATACTTTAAGTGATGCAGTGCGAATAGGACTGATCTAAAAAATGCTTCATTTTAATCTCATTTTATTCTTAAACACTGCTTGCTCTGTCTTTGCATATGGATGGTCTTGTATGCCAGTTGGCTTGTCGGCTTGGCTTAAAACTCTTATTTTAGCCCTTTTTTAAATTAATTAAATATATATTTAGAATGGTTGCTTTGCCTATAGGTTAACAGCTGAATCCAGATTTGAAACTACGGAAAAAGAAGAAAAGAAAGAAAACAAAATCACGGTTGAAAGGAAAACACAAAAGAAGAAATATACAACGTTGTATGTATCTTCTAAGCCAACTTCTGAAACACAATGTGCTCAGCAATAAAACTCACATTTCTGGAAGGAACCTGAACAATTTGGAGTCCTGCCTCAGAACACGTAAACTTACAGGTTCCTAACTTAGATATTGATCTGCTTTGTTCTACGAGGAGCGTGACTGCATTAATGAGAGTTGCACTTCTGATATGTTAACTTCCCAGAGGGCACTGGGAGTGTGACCTGAAGTGTTGCCTTGTCTTGAATCTCGCTTAAGTCTCTAAACACATTTTAATTGTCCTTTGCTTGAAGCACCTTGCTATTCTGAAAGATAAGTACCTGCTACAGAAGTTTTATTGTATGGTAAGAGAGGAGTCAACCCTGACTCCCAGCAAGATAGACTAGGTAGGCGATGTTGATGCAGAACTCAACTAAGTCATGTGCTCCTGAATTTCTTCTAGTTCCTGGATTCAGAACTCTTAACTTTTTTCCCCCTAATGTGTAATTGTTAAACTTTCAGACTGACCGGATTGCAAAGGTGCATGTGAATCTTTTTTTGCATTTTGTGGGATACTATTCTTTTGAAACTCTTAAGTTCTTGTATTTGTACTAATAATTAAAATAAACCTCTATTTCCGAAATGTAGTCTATATTGCATTTGAGACAAAACATTTCTCTAAAACTGTCAGTTTTTTGATTGAGCGCTGAGGTATTTTGTAAAGGATTTTGTTTAAAAAAAAAAAAGTACCATTCAGTAAAAGCTAAGAAACTGTAATGCACATGCCGTGTGTCATTGTGTTTTTAGGAGACAAATCTTTAACTTTCTGTAACTTTCTGATGACACTTCATGCAGAATAATTGTGACGAGAGCATTTAAGCTAGTAACATTATTTTTTTTTTTTCGGTGTGTATGTGGAGGTTTAAGGTTATTTGATATGACTCATAGTAAGTTCCCTCTAGTGACAGGCTTAGCCATGTTCTAAATAAAAGATTCAGTAGTCTCTTAAAGACTTTTCCTTTCAAATCTGTTATGAAACAAGTATTTTGGGGGAGAATCTTACAACCCAGTGGGTTTTGGATTTGACTGCTTCATCTGCTGTATGTTAACTTCCATTGGTACTTTGGAATCCAAGATGTGGATTGATACAACGTGCCTCTGTATTCCCACAGATGCAACTTCAAGCTCCTGTCAGAGACTGCCAGTCAGCACCGAGAGACAGTGAAAGTCAACATGCTATACAAAGAATTTTTTCTTTGCTGTTTTCTGCCTTTGGTGAAATCACTGTTTCCTTTGCTAGCTTGCGCTGTAGTGGTGATGCTGACTGAATTTTCCCACCACAACCACCAGAACACTTCTAGATGCTGTAAAATGGACCTTAGTTAGAACTGGTTATCAGTCCCTTTCTACATACTTGAATTTCAGCACAGCCTGGTGGCTGTTACTCCTACTGCTGAACAAAGTAATCATAAATCGATGTATCGTAGAATCTAATTGTATCACTTCATCAATCTAAGAGATTTACTACCTCTCCAAATCCTTCAGTCCCTTATTTATTAAGTCTACATAAACTGAGAATAGCTTATTTCTTCTTAACTTTTGTTAAGATACTCCATGACATCACAGGAAGCCAACATATATCCATGAAGTAGTTCTTACTCTTCTTGACTTTGACTGCACACATGAACTTAAATAATACTGCATTGAAGAAGTAACGCTTTTCATGCCAGAAAAGGTTAGAAGCACACCTTTTTTTAATACTAAATGGTAAAAGTTAGCTTTGTTTACTGTACACTGAGGTGCAAATAGCATAAAACAACAGAAGTAGGTAATGGTTTCAGAGGAAAGGCTTCAGTAACTTAACAGGGGATGTGTGTACTTCAAATGGGAGTACTGAACTGTAGAGTGTCTATTGTGAAGACAGTTAATCATGTATTGAGCTACGTGGCATGTGAAATGTCTAATATTTTTAAATTAAAATAACTATTGTTAATGCTACAAACAAAACAAGGATGTCATTTCAACAAATAAATACAGCTGATTTCTGCTATCTAATTACCCCCCAAAGCCACTGGTTAACCTGTACTGCTGTAGCTGCTTTTGAGCATGTAGTCTTTATCTTAGGTAATACATGCATGAATACAGGTCTTTTGCAGAATTACAACTGGTAGGTGCGGGAAGGTGTTTGGAATTGAGGCTTTGTTGTGCCATACCATACTTAAGCTATTGTCTCTTAAGTTCATGAAAATGCTTCTTAGATTTCCTTTTCTCCGTCTCTTCTGTTGCATCAATCGCGTTCCTGTAACTGCGCTCGCAGATCTTTGCATATAATAGATTTTAGAGCAAGTTAAATGCACCTGCTGTGTTTTGCTGAAGTTCTTCTGCATAATGGAAGTTAGTAGAGCTAAACATTGACAAATAATCAGCATTTTACAAGGTCTTGTTTTTTTGGAATTGATAGCAGTAGTAAAGGAGGCAAGAATTCTCTGCTGCCTTCCTCTGCCCTACCCCCCAAAAGCTAAGTTCTACCCTTTAATTCCATACGCAGAAAGATTTTTATCTTTGGTGGAAGTAAGGAATTTTCTACTTGCCTGTAAATACTTTCTGCCTGGAATAAGACTGTTGTGGTTTAACCCTAGCTGGTAACTGACCCCTACCCTGCCCTTTGTTCTCTGCCCTCTGGTGGGCTGGGGGAAGAGAATCAGAAGAGTGAAAGTCAGAAAACTCACAGGTTGAGAAAGACACAGTTTAATAGGGAAAGCAAAAGCAGCGCACACAAGCAAAGCAAGGGATTAATTCACCATTTCCCAGCAGCAGGCAGCTGTTGAGCCATCTCCAGGAAAGCAGGACTCCATGTGTACCGGTGACTTGGGAAGACGAACGCCATCGCTCCTGATGCCTCCCCCCTGTACGGTAGAGGCTATCCCTTTGGCGAGCCTGCGCTGGTGGGGTGAGAAGCAGAAAAGGCCTTGACTTTGTATAAGCACTGTTCAGCAGTACCAAAAGCATCTCTGTGTTACCCACACTGCTTCCAACACAAATCCAAAACCTAGCCCCATACCAGCTGCTATGGAGAAAATTATCCCAGCCAAAAGCAGCACAAAGACTTATGGAAAAGATGGTAAGGTGTGTGAGGGTGTCGAATGATTATCTGTCCGCTATTTTCTGTGGGATGGTAATTACACAAATAAACCAACAAATACTTGAGAACAAAAACCTCCCCTGACAAAGGCCGTAACTGTTACCCATCTTAAATCCCCAGACCCTTGTTGGGGTTTGTCTTCTGCTGTAGGAACACATGATTTTAGGGTTACCATGCATGGTTTACAGTCTGGATGCATTTTCCTCAAAAAAGCTGAAAAAAGATTTTGTTGTTCAATCCATTTGTTTGAGGTTACAGCTAGGACTTTTTCAGACACGGTCAGATGAGGAGACTGTCTTAGCTAGCTTCACGGAAAGTGGCAGTAGGTGCCAGTAGCTAATGAGGTGCAAAAGCATCATCATGAAAGTATGACAGGAGGAAGCAAGAGCAGCTGTGCGCAATGCCGAGAGCGGGGCGGGGGGAAATGGGTGGCAGGGGGGAAGCAGCAATGGCTGTGGAAGCTCGGGTTGTCAGGGCATGCGGGGTGGGGTGCTAAGAAGGGGAGCGGGAGCTCCGAGGTGGGGACAGAGCTGTGCCTAAATGCCTGGTGGTGGTTAGATGCCTTGTAGTCTTTGCAGAATCACACCTGAGGTGGAAAAGATGCAGGGTATCAGAAAAGTACAGCAAACTGGATCCCAGTTTGGAGGGGCAATTTGTGTATGTCGTTTCTTTTTGGAATATAGTAGTTTTGTATTACTTAGGTTTATCAGACCTACATGATAAAGCATGTTTTTAAATGAGTGCCAGAAAGGAACAACTGTCCTCAGGACTTTTGTATTACAGGGAAACGTAATGAGGAAGAGCAATGTGGACTACGAAAATAAATGCAAGTCATGACCTTTATGCCAAATAGTATATGGGAAGGGGTGATTTACTGCAGCAGGGATTCAGAGGAGCAAGGAAGACAGTTATCGCTGGTTAGGAAGCTGTTATTCAAAATACATCGTAAGCTAAAAAGTGAAATAGTTCATCCTCAAAATCTTTTTTTTCGATAGATAAACAGTATCAATTGTGTGTTCCGTGGAAAAGAAAGATTTGGAACTCTTAGATGAAGCAGATTGTCTGTAGATGGAGGTAATCTGAGTTGCTCAGAATCTAGCTCACATTAATAAACATAACATGAATTTCAATGTTACTTTAGGGGGGAAAATAACTACCTGAAAAATAACACTCTGAATCCTTTTGCTAACCTAGCATGCAGATGTGGTTAAGACTAGGGCAATTCAAGCAAATCTGTGGTAAAGTTTAATGTGGTTTTCCTCCAGAATAGGTATCAGAATTCCATGTGCGATGAGACAGACTGGCAGTCTGTGCTTCTCATGATTGCCGGTTAAAATCAAGAACTGACATGTCATGTCTTACCAAAAATATCTTGACGGATGTAGCGCACCACTGTTAAACCATATTTGCTAAGTTGCAATGTAATATTCACAGGATAGGATCATCATATGACTTTGTACTGAGCAGGAGATAAAGAAACAGTAAATCGTTTAAAGCATTTTCTGTTTTGTTGGGGTTTTTTTTTATTCTAAACTATAAGCAAAGAACATGAATGAAGGTGATGTATTTGTCTTCAATTTGTTATGTTTTCCTTAATCCAAATTATAACTACCTTGGTTTGATCTTTGCACATCCATAAACGTCATTATGTAAGTTAGCTCACACAGCAGCCTCTGTGAAAGTAGAGGCTGTAAATATAAATTACTTTTTGAAGTTCTTGACAGTAAGTCTTTAAAAAAAGTGTTGCTTTGTTTAGAGAATAAAGAGATACTCTCCTACTTTTTCCTCAAAAGGTAAAGTGACGAAAAGGAATGGGTGCAGTTTGAAATGTTGTGGCTTTGTCTTCACTTCAGCGCTCTCATAAGAATTTTTTTATGAAAAAATTTTAAAAAAATTTTATGAAAAAAAAATCCCCATTCCAGGACAGGTTAGATGACTGTAGTTTTTAAGATACAGTGTCTTGTAGAGTCAGATCTTTTCAAATCTGGTTTTCATGTCGTTTAAGAAATAAGGCCCACTTGACGTTTCAGAACAGAGCTAACCGATGTCTCAAGATTGTTCCTGCAGCTGGGCTTTGCACACAGCAGCCTTACAGCTCAGAGCTTAAGTTCAGGGGTGGTGCTGGAGAGGATTGGGGTGGGTTTTCTCTTTTTCTGCCTGCTTATGTGTACAGCCAGTATCGTGCAACAGAAACACCCGGTTTGGGATTCCCCTCCCCCATGACATGGGGCACAGTCTCCTGAGTTGAGAAAAGAGGAAGGAAGCTCAGAGCAGCAGCAAATCTCGCAGAACCCTCGCAGCTGCCTCAGCCTGCCTGCTGGTCCTCAGTGACAGCGGCCGGGAAACAGATCTTGCTTCCAGTGCCTTTGTTCGTTACCTGTCTTGAAGTCTGCATCCTACAAATTTTGGTTCCCTTGGTGGCGGGCATCCTTCAGAGTCTCACGGATTCACGTACGATGGCGCGATGGCACAAGACAGACAAGAGGAGTGGCGTGGGTATGTAACTTAGTAAACTGCCATTTGAGTTTTCTCTTCATAACTTCTGAACAGGATGTGGGCAGGTGTTTTCTCTAGGGCGATGAGTTAACACCCTCCACTTTACCATGGTGGCTTAGTTGAAATGATCAATTTTATACAAAGTTTTAATCTTTCAAATGGAATGACAAGAAGTAGGCGAGTGTCAGCCTGGGAGATGTAACCCTTCCACCCCACCACACACCCCCACCCCTCTCAAATCTTGGATTCTCACTGTACTGCAGCTTCTCCCACCTTGACATTTTAGAAACAGACTGAATAAGTAGTATGTCGTACAATAAGTAGCAGCTAGAAGTTACGGGGAACAAATGCAGGGGAAGAGGAATTCTACAGTTGCTTCCGAGAGACTGTCTCGAGGTTGGTGTTACAGAAAAAACTGTACGTGACTTGGTAAGCAAGACTTTCTGGAAGGAAAGTCATCTTCCAGCATCAATTTTTCTTAAAATGAATGATATTAACTTGCATAAAGGACTGAATTGCTGTTTAAAAAAACCCAAAACCTTAAAACTAGAATCAAAGCTGAAGCATTTGAAAGAAATGTCCCGCTGAAGTTAACTGCAGGTTCTCAGTTCAGAAGACAGTCAATCTTGTACTACTTAGGTTTTATTTTACCTGCTAGTTCATAGTTATTAATCTCAAATCCCCAAATTCTTCTAAAAGACACTTTTTAAGAAGGCCAGAATATTTTGTGATATGCATTAAAAACAAAAAAACCCCACCCAACTGGTTTCATGAAATAAAATGAATCATCAAGGAATTAATAAGAAAAGAACATCTTCCTGTTCCAACTCCCATGTGCAGCTGTAGCAGAATTGTGAAATTGAAGTAGCCTGTTCTGGTGGCAGTTTATATTACAAAATAAAGGGTGTAAATATTTTTTGTTTCAGTTTTACAAATAGTAGAAAGTACTTAATTTTTGCACGTGTTTTTCCAAAAGCTATCGATTGGGGACCACATGATGGATTTGGTGGATGTGGTCTCTTTTTCTCTACC